TACAATACTTTATACTGTATTTTGCCATTATAATTATAGCAAACCTGTCTGAAGCTTTAAATTTATGAAGTTGTTTATTTTTAATAGAAAAACACCAAGGCTTTTCTGTAGGTATTGGGCCAGCTCCTTGCTAATTGCTGTCACTGGTTATTTTCTTTTATTCAAATGTAAAGAAAAATGAAGCAAGATAAATACATCAATATAGACTCAAAGGTGAAGTTTATTTCTAAGAGAGTGTTCTGAGAAGTTCTCATTATAGATATGCCATATAAGTAAAGATCTAAATGTTCAGAAAAAAATAACGTAGGGAAGACTTAGAGTTAAAGTAATGACTGACATGTAGTATGAGGTTGAAAACTGCAGTCTTAAATAAGAACTTTAAATCCCCATTCCTATCAGTGGTGAATTAAAGTTCTTTTCCCCCACATTCCTACCTGTACTTAACGTTTTTAAACTTTTTGATGTGTGCCAGTCTCACTGGTCTGAAGGCATATCTTTTGTTGTTTTGATTTGCATTTGATATTGAACATTTTTCCATATGCCTTTAGAACATCAAAGCAGTTTTATACAGGATGTAGGACAAATTCTCAGACCAGTGGAATAGAATTTCAAGTCCAGAGATAGATCTATAAGTTTATGGATGTTTATTTTCAACAAAGGAGCAAAAAGTTTGAGTGGAGCAAGGAAAGCCTACCAACAAATGCTACTGGAAACATTGGCTGGTCAAATGTAAATAAATGAAATCAGACCCCTTTCTAATATCATGCACAAAAGTCAAATCAAAATTAATTAAAGACCTTGATATTATACTGGACTCCATAAATTATATGGAGAAAAACATAGGATATAGGTAGAAATCTCAATGACATTGAATCTAGAGACCTTCTTCTGTCATTCAGTGCCATTTTTCAAGAAAATGGAAGAAAGTATAAACAAATAGGTCATCAAATTAAGGAATTTATGCACTGTAAAATAAATAAGTAGCAAAATAAAATGATACTCAGTAGACTGAACAGATTGAGAGAAAATATTTGCTCCCCATTCATCTAACAAAGATCACTCTCAAGATATATAAGGCATGGTAAAACTTTACTAGATAAAAACAACTAACCCTATTTAAAAATATGGAGAAGAGAACAAAGTGTTTTGAAGGGGCCTAAGTTATATTAAAGGGCTCTTCAAAATAAGGCATTCATTTGTATAGATATAACTTCATGTTCAAGTAAAATACTCAAAGATATAGAAGTCTAAGGAATAAATTGTTTAAAGATGCAAGTTCTGTGCACATTCTTAACACCCAATCAATATCTGATTGAACCAATTTATTCAATCCTAGTGATAGGAACATAAGAAATGTTGTCTCTTGGGTTGGAGTAATAGCACAGTTGGTAGCAAGTTTGCCTTGCATGCAGCCGACCCTAGTTCAATTTGCAGCATCCCAAATGGTCCACTGAGCACTTCTAGCAGTAATTCCTGAGTGCAGAGCCTCCTGGATTTCTGTATATCACTGGGTGTGACCCCCCCCAAAAAAAGAGAAATGTCTCTAATTGTATCTGTTTACTTTACTAATGGAAAGGACTTTTCTACCAAAAAAAAATCACAGAAGAGTTCTTGATGACTCTAAATTCAGTGAATCAGAAGAAAGCTGGGTATAATAAGAAAATAATGAGTAGAGTTCAACTAGAGGAAAATGGGTGGGATGAAGTCAAAGATTGTTTTTGAGAATTTCCAAGACAGAAGATGATTTTTTTCCTATGTGTAATTTAAAGACATAATAGGCTTTGCGAAGATTGTATATCATAGTCTGATATTTTAATGTACTCTGAAGTCAAGAAATAACATGTCCCTTTTCTCCTCTTTCAGCAAGGCTTTAAATAGTTCTATCAAAATCACATGATATTCTAATAAAAACAGATGCATAGATTAATAGAGTAGAATATATTTCCCCCAAATAAATTTTCTTATATTAGAACTACCAGTGTGCTACAAGATATAATGAGTATAAGATGTAGAAAGAAGACTCTTTTTAATAATAAAGTTGAAAAGCCTGAATAGTCACTAGCAAAAGAATAAAACTGGATGACTGTCTCACCCTGTGAACAAATGTTAACTCAGAATGGATGAAAAACTTTGGCATTAGACACGATACCATAAAATACAGTAAAGAAATTGTTGGTGGCACATTATATAATATTAGCTTCCGTGTTATTTGGTCGGGGGGAGTGGGGATGGGGTTGCTCCAATGTCAAGGAAAACAGAAGCCAATAAAATCAATCAGGATTATATCAAAATCAAAAAGTCTCTAGTAAGAGAAAGACACTATCGTTAAAACTATCAATAAAAACAAACAAATAAGTTTTTTTTCTGAATCTGAAGAAATACTTGCACACCATAAGCATGATTAAATGTAATATCTAGGATATATAATATTAGATAAACACAATCTAACAACAACAATTGAAAACCAACTCCATAAGAATATAAAGAAAACGGAGGGCCCAGATATGGCTTGGTGCTAAACTGAATACATGTACGTGTGGGGCCTTGAATCTCACTCCAATTCCAGAAAATATCACAGAGTGCAATCCCATTTCCATCAGGAGTGAGTCCCTGCACTATAAGCAGGACCCTGACACTGCAACAAGCACTAAGTTGGCTATGTAACTTGCCAATACCTGATGCTCCAAGGCTACCAATAACAAAAAATGGGAGAAAAGTCAAACCCCCACTTTATCAAAGAATCTCAATAAGCACATGAGAAATCCTTGTTATCATTTATAATCAGGAAGTGCAAATGAAAACTACAATCACATACATCGAATATCTGTGATAAAAGCTGTTATCAAAAAGGCCAGAAGGAGCTGAAAACATGTAGTACAGTGTGTAAGGCATTTGCTTCACATGCATTTCACCAGGGTCTGATCACCATAAACACTACATATGGTTCTCAGAAGACCCTCAATAAGTATGCCTGACACCAGAGCCAGGAGTGAGTTCTTAGCACATCCTGGTGTGGACTCGAAACAAAGGAATTAAAACAGCCAGAAACAGCAAGTGTTTGCGGATGTCAAATTGTATCCTTAAAATGTAGTCTTATAAACCATGGATGTAGTTGTATGAAGAAATTATTATAATCGCAGGAGGAGAACTTAACGATTTAGGGTTAGTAGTTAGTACAAGTATCAGAATGTAGATTTGAGGTGCATTTTCAAGGAAAAGCCAGTAAAAACTCTGTTTTTATTCAGTGCTATGGATCAAACTCAGGTCCTCACATATGCAAGGGTGATGTTCTAATATGAGTCTACTCTCTACTCCCTGAGCCTAACAAAGTTTGTTTGTTTCAGCCACATCCAACAGTGCTCAGGGGTTAATCCTGGCTCTGCACCCAGGATACGCCTGGCAGTCCTGGGTGCCATTCGGGATGTGGTTGGCCATATTCAGTTCAATGCCCTATCTATTATACTATCATTCTGTATACAAACAACAACGTTTCCAAATAAACATCAGGTGTATTGGGGGCCAGACAGATTGAACAATGACAACCAGAAATAGCAAGTGTTTGTGGAGATACACAGGAGAAAGAACCTTGTACACTGTTAGTGTTTATGGAAATTGACTTAATCTTCATGAAAAACAAGTAGAACTTTCTCAGATTATAAAACAGCAGATATATTGTATGATCTGATTTTCACTACTTGATATTGCTAGCAGTGAAAACAAAGACAAAAACACAAGTTCAAAAAGATATATACACATCCATGTATATTAATCTTATTTAAAATAGTTAGAATACGGAAGCAAAGAACCAAAAAAAATGAGTAGATAAAAAAACTGTGGGGAATATTTTTGTGTGTGTGTGTGCATTTTTGGGTCATACCTGGCGATGCACAAGGGTTACTCCTGGCTCTGTACTCAGGAATACCCCTGGCGGTGCTCAGGATGTCACGGTCACGGTCCTCCCTTTGTTCATTGATTTGCTCGAGTGGGCCCAGTAACGTCTCTATCATGAGACTTGTTGTTACTGTGTTTGGCATATTGAATACATCACGGGTAGCTTGCCAGGCTTTGCCGTGAGGGCGAGATACTCTCAGTAGCTTGCCAGGCTCTCCGAGAGGAGCGGAGGAATCGAACTCGGATCGGCCATGTTGGCTGCATGCAAGGCAAACGCCCTACTCACTGTGCTATGGATACTCTGGTTTCTCTTCAGATCGCTCAGGATGAGATGCTGGGAATTGAATCTGGGTTGGTCACGTGCAAGGCAAACACCCTACCCACTGTGCTATTGCTCCAGCCGCAAGGCATATTTTTATATAGATATATATGAGATAGTTTTAGGTAATATTGATATAGATTTATATGATGAAATGCTAAAGTAAAATAGGAAAAGAGGAAATCTTGTCATTTATAATAATATAAATTAAACTCTAAGAGTCTTAAGAAGAGAAATAACTCAGAAAAAGAAATACTAATATGGAATCATATCACTCAAAGGTGAGATATAAAACAAAAGTGATAGAACAGACAAAAATCAAAGGAAAATAAGCACTTGGACTCAAACTAAATAAGTAAGGCTGGGTTCAATGCCTGGCACACCATATATTCTCCTAAGACCACCAAGATTTAAACCAGAGCATAGAGTCTGAGAAAAACAAAGTCAATTAACAGTATTATTTCTAGTGGAAGTAAACCTACAGCAAAACTTGGTTTTGGGAGCTTATCGACTTTTATTAGCTACTAATTTCATTTAACAGAAAAAAAATTAGTCATCATTCATTAAGACAGGCACAATTAACAATAGCTAATTCATTTATGTTAAAATGATCCTATTTTACCACTATGAGCATCCCCATTTCCAGAAGATTTCATGAATACTGAGAAAAAATAATAAAACATTCAATCAAATAATTAAGACTGTCAGAAACCTGTTAAGTTTTTTTTCCAAACTAGCTATATATAGAATGCACTTTGTTATAGGACTTTTTTAAAAGAATGTCTTCTCATTGGTTTAAATCATCAGAATTTTTATAGTCTATACAGCCCATTAACTCTTCAAAATTGTAAAACATTCTCACTATGACTTAATATCTACTCAAATGTACACAACACATCATGCTCAAAATCTATTTATTTTAAAACATTTAGCTCAATTTATATTCACACAGAAAAAAAATTAAGCAATAAACCACAGCTGTAGAAGAGACAAAATAATTGTTCTGTCACATTTTCAAACAAACATAATTTGAAGCATAATTAAAGTATTCTGAATCACATATATCTTCTCAGTAGTAGTAAGAACCTCTTTTAAGTATATAGGGCCTTCTGGGCTTACTCTCATATAGCTGACGTTTTAAAATGTAAGGAATTTTCCTCTTAATAACTTCTTCCTTTTGATTTTTATCATTTCCAGCATCAAGAAGATCTTCCTGGGTGGCCTGAAATATGGACATAATGAAAAAGTGAAAGTTACAAACATAAAATCTTCCTTTTCAAGTATATTTGTACATTTTTTATATTTTTTTTATTCAGGCAGTTAGACATATAGATGAATCTCTGAGGTTTGATACAATCGAGTGTTTTGTCCATGATTTATTATCATCAAAATGTTGGGAAAACATGGAAACATAACTTTTATAAATCTCTGGTTTTCTTCCTACTTCATCAAGCTAGTATTTTAAAATGTTTCTCTATACATCAAAGCCATATATTCATACTTCCAATAGAAGAAATATAGCTAAAAGACCTTTAAGCAGTGATCAGCTTATACTGGAGAAATAAAAATGTGCCAAAGATAAATCATAAATCAGGGTAATTGCAGAGTTTTAATCTAGTAAATCACTTTAACCTCAGTGGTTTTAGAAAAGATTTTTAAATGCATAAAAGGTTTAATACTCAGTTAATTATGAAATTGATATGCAAAACATTCCAAAGATTCATTTCTCTTAGCAGAATGCCTACTCTGTCTTACACTGTTATTATATTGTATAAAATATATGTTGCATAAATTAAGTGGTAAAGTGGTAAATATCACTTTACATTGTGATGATTAGCAATTTAAAGCTTATTCAGATTCAGCTGAAGGGAATAAATCTCTAATTAGAATCTTGCTAATAGCTCATTACCAATACATCCTATTCTAGAATTAGTTCCCCCTTTTCAATAAGGGTGCTCTGACGATAAATAAAAATTTCGTTAGCATAAAATATTAAAATTATTAGGAGTTTTCTGCATAATTTACACCAGCTTTTAAAAATTTTTCAGGTTCAAAAGATGGTTCTGTGACTTAATATTCTTTCCTGGCAAGTTCAATGCCAGAAGTTTAAATTCCAATATAGCCATCAAACACAGTCCTAAAGTCTGAGGATCCATGTGAGGAAAATGAAAGAAACCTAGGGCAGAAGAAATAGCTCACTGAGGTGAACATGTACATGTGAACTGAGCGATCCCCGAGCCCATTTCTGGGGGTAGACCCTGAGCACTGTTGGGTGCAGTCAAATAGCCAGAAACAAATATATGGATGAATGAACTGGATTTATAACATTGAATATGAGTAGTATAATAAGAGAATTTATCTCCTAAACCTTGGAATAACTGTAATTTTCCTAAGGATCTAAGTTTTAAATTGTAACAAAAAAGTCTTGTTATATCACCAAGTATTTTGTTTCAACCCACAGTTACTTAACATGGAAAAAAAAGTGTTAGGTATTCTACCTTCTTAACATTTTGTTTCTCTGTGCACAGTATGTAATTATGTGTACTACCCTGTGAATGCAATTATACTTTAATATTAATTCAATCAATAGCATTAAAATAGCAACATTTCTAAACATATTTACTAAATCTCTTTATGTAATGGTACTAAGGGTTTTATTTCAAGATAAGTTGATACTATGCTAATATTTTAAACTCTACCACCAAATTTTAAACATGCTAAAACTCATTTCTTATTGACAAACAATATTTCAAAGCCAAAAGTGTTATGAATTGTAATTAAGGGAGAAATGTGCCAGAAAACAAAATCAAAACTAGCTTTTTTGCTTTTCCATATTAAAAAAAAATCTTTTTGTTTTGAAGTTATAATAAAAACTAGGATTCCTGCTTCACATTTCGTCTTTTCCAAAGAGTTTGTTTGTGGTATCATAGGTAATATTTTTCTGTGTATCAACTTCTTACTTTGTTTGCACCTTTACCTGATCGAAAATATATTGATACAGGAGAGATTAGTAAGAGCAAACCCTAATTCATTTTCTGTGCAGAGAGGTTCATGAGATTGGAATCTGTGGGACCCAAGAGACCGTGCAGCAGTTAGGGCACTTGCATTGAACATGTTTGATCTGATGGTTTTGGTCCCCAGAACCCCTTCTGATTCCCTCAGCCCAGGATGACTAAGGGCAGAATCAGGAGTAAGCCCTGAGTAACATACAGGTTGTGGCACCGTCCACCCACCCCTTCAAAAAAAATGATCAAAATTACAAAAAGTATACACACAGTATATATAATAAGCAGTATATATCCTTCATATAGACCTATTATTGTTTTGCTTAATATATACAAGTTCAAAAGAACCTTTTAAGTTTTTGTTGGATTGACAGGGGGGGTGTACCCAGTTGTTCTGGATGCTGTTCCCGACTGTGCTCAGGAATAACCTTTGTCAATGTAAGGAATTACTGCATGTAAGGCAATTGCCTTACCTCCTGTACTAGTTTCTGGCCCCCCTATGAACCTTTTATATTTCTGTTTGTTTAGAGATAAACACATAGAATTTACTGATTCTAAGAAAACATTTGAATTTTCTAAATGCCTTTGACTTTCCACCAACTCCAATCACCAAAACAGTGTAATGTATGCTATCAATTTGAACTCTACACCTCTTTCACAACTAAAAAAAAAAGAGTTTAATTCCAAATCTTTAAAGCACACTATGAATGGCTAGTGTACTATTTATCTACACACATCTCGTTATTTTCTCATTTTATAATGATTGAGATTTAACAAATTAGTGCACATGAAATCTAACTAGTATATCCATGATTGCACATATTCATTCTTTAAAAAATTTTTGTATTACCTCCCAGCGTTGAAATGCTCTGCTGTTACAGATTTTTTGGACCTGGTATATTGTCAACATTGCTTCCAAGCTAAAGTCATCTAAGGCAACAGGAAATTTCCTTCTTGTACTGAGTTCTTCTTCACGAAACTCTCCTGTTTCCTCAGCTTGGGTGTTCAGACTATTTATGAGACTGCAAACATTTAGCAGGGTCATTTTCCAGGAGAGACCACTTGCTTTACTTGCCTGAAGTATAAAAAAAAAAGAAACATATATCATAGTTAAAATGCACTATCTAAGAATTAAAGTGCTTTTATGCTACTTAGGTCTATTGTATTATGCATTTTAGGTCTATTATAATTCTGAACTAACAATATCCTGTTACGAATTAATAACTCAATATCACAAAGCTAAATAGCACCCATACTAGATACACTATATATTTAAAATGTAGTTTATTTATTTTTTAATTTATTGGACCTCACTGGCTGTACTCAAGAATTACTCCTGGATCTGTCCTCAGGGATCATTTTAGGCATCAAATGGAAAAACGCATTGGGTGCCAGATTGAACACTGGTCTTCTACATATAAGCAATCATTTATTCACTGTATTATCTGTCCAACTTAAAAATATAAATTTAAATAGAATGTTTACACATATACATGCATAAACCAAGAATGAAAATATACAAAATATAAACAGTAGTAAAATATATATTTATTTAGTGTATACATAACAGAATAAAATATTTTTCAAATGCCCTTCTCTATTACATTTATTTTAGTGTCTTATGAATAATAATTATGGAGCTATTAATATATTTGGATAATTATAGTAGTGTGACAATAATAATATAGTCAACACATTAAATATTTATAGACAGAATTACAGCTTACCAATTTATCTGCAATTTACAATTTTCCTTGAATTACAGAATTTTAATAATAGGATCTTGTCTAACACCATTATTGTCACAATCAAAATTTTTTATGCCAATAACAATAAAAAATATAAGAATTAACGTGACTTAGTTTGAAATCATTAGAAAAAATCAATAGAAATTTATGATGGTATATATGAAAGGAAAGATTTTTTTCTCAAAGGAATAAAATATTTGGCTAAACACAAAGTCCTGATAGGAAAGAACACTTAGTAGAATTAGGGCAAGCTATCAGTTTTCTCTGAAATTATCTCCAAATAAATGCAATTGCAAATCCAATGTTTGAAAATATGAGAAGACCAGAAATTAGAAAATAGTGAATACTCCAATTGAAAAAAAAACTTTAAGTCTTAGATAAATATTATGAGCGGAAGTATCACAGTAATATTCATCAAAGATGAAATAAGTAAAAGATATATGTAGAACTGTGTTCACCATTACTGCCATTACATAGGAATATGTTTAAAAGCATCAAAAGTATACCAGGAGTTAGTATAACTATGTAATCATTACTTAAAATTTTATGCTGTAGTAATCTTGGATGCTATATGCCACCTATGAAGCAGTAAAACTTAATTCATTCTATTTAATTTGGAAAGCTCTTTAGATATCCAAATGCTGTGATATCTAAATTGTATTTCTTAGAGCTTTTGTTCTGCATTCACTTTTTGAAACAAGATTTCACTGTCAAGTAAATTGAAAAATCTGAGCTCCAAGGATATTTAAAAACTTCTTGATTGCAGATAAAGTCAGAATTTTAACTTGCAAATGTTTATTTTTAACTTTTTAATGATACCAAATAGTTTCCAATGTTCTTCAGCTAATTTGACCACAGAATTATTTATTCATAATGTATCTTTCAAGGATAATATTACCTGATGAGTTCTTGAATAAGGAAACTGATAATCTTGTTCCTTTATTCAAGTTAATGTGGTTACATTACTCAACATAGCTATTAATAATTAATTTATCCCTGCTATGTATATGAAACATGACAAAGAGAATAACTTTTGATGAGGATTTGAACAAAGATATTTGTTCAAAACCCTTTTTATATGGTTTTTTATGTTTTAAAATATTTCAGTCTGGATAATGACAAAAACTCTGGGCTGGACCAAATAAAATTGGTCAAATTATATCCTGACTTCCAGCTCTGTCAATAAATTAGTCCAGGTTCAGCAAAAATTCCTCATCGTTTGTAGGCAATCATCCTACATATGTAAACAAATAATAGATATTTGATGAAAATTCCTATGGAAATATTGGAATTCTGTTCAGTTGCCTAGTAAAAATACTCCTCCCCATAATATTTCTACTTAGTAATTTTCTGTCAGTATTCCTCAACCCTACTTATCAGCTTTAAATCCACATTTTTCCTCTTTGTATTTGGATTGAAAACCAATCTTTGCAAAATACCTTATGTAATATTTCATGTTTGAATTAAAGTTTGATAAAATTTTTTGTTGGCTTTAAAATATCATGAATAAAATTAGCTTAATACTGACTAAATTCTGTTATATAAAATTTTAAAATAGATCCAAGCCTACTCTTTTTTTTCCAAGATAAGGGAATAAAATGTACATGTTTACCATGATTTGACAATTTCTAAGGCTATTAGTTTCTGGACATATTTTCTTTTCTTTAACAGAATGGGCCCTAATCAATATACATAACACTGCTCACCTTTAATGTACTGAACCTATAATGTACTGAACCTATGGTCTTTCTATTTTTAGTTAAAATGGCCATATCCATTGCTATTCTGACTGAACTCTAAGTAGATTATTATCAAGATTTAAAATATATTTTGTCATTTAATGACCTGACTAAAATTGATCACTGCTGACACGAAACATAAAACCTTGTAAACTGTGGTAGATTTTGATTTTAATCAATCTACTTTCATAGATCTGAGTAATCATTGAAATATATATGTGTGCTCTAAATGTCTTTTGAAGTTATTTGTGCAAAGCTTTGTTAGCACTCATATAATAGGCCCACACTTTCAAACACATAATAAGATGGGTAATTTTTCCTAATCACACTCCCTATCAAGTATAATTCTCTCTACATAGTAGGGTTTGTTGTACCTGAAACATAATCCTCCAATTGGACAAGAGAAAACCAGGATAATAAGACTTGAATTAAACATTAGCTTCAGAAATTAGATGGAACTTTCTGAACACTTATTTTCTTACCATAAAAACTATTGAATTATCATATGTGGAACCAGGTGACTGACTAACATCAACTTTTTTTTTTTGAACCATTTTTTTTTTATTTCCAAATGCTGTGATCTAAGCCAAGGTTTTAATAGTTACTAATTGGTTTTCTCTGGGTAAATAATTATTATGCGGTAACCTGATAAATAAGATATATGAGGGTAATTTCTAGGTACAGGTTAGGATTAAATAAAAAAAAAAAGACTTCCAATGAGGGTAATTTCTAGGTACAGGTTAAGAAAAAAAAATGACTTTAGGACTCCAAGAGAGAAATAATGCGGATCTGTGTTCAAAGATATAATTGGTTTAGAAAAACAATGAGCATATACATATTAATACTTGGATTAGTTAATTCCAGGCATGGACCTAATGTAAATATCTAGGAGATCATAAACCCCAACTTGGGCATTTAAAAATAAAAGAGTGAAAACAAGCAGTGTGATCAGCCTACTTGTTTAAATTCAATAGCTCATAAATCACTGTTTCATGAGTTGCCAAAATTTTTTATTTTATTTTATTTATAATTTAGGAACTCCATTTTACTTTTACCAATATAATAAAAATGCAAAGTTGTTGGTTTTCATTCATGAGTTTAAACTGAAGCCAACATACCTCTCACCATATATAACAGGATAAGAATGGAAACAAGATTCCTTTAAATATGTTCACATGGCCACATAAATAATACAGAGCTACTTAATTAAGGTCACATTATACTGATTGATAGTCACTATAATTTCTTTCATATCACATCAACACCCTTAACTTCTTTGAACTTAGGGAAATATTTTCAAAAAACAAAATGCTTCTCAATGAACTTTTCAGTCTTGATGGGAAGTTATTACTATAGGAAAAGATGCTATGTTTATAATGAGAATTTATATGATTTTCAGTCCTCAGTTGAAGAAAAGAAAGTTACCTTTGATGTATGCATATTGGTCAATAAATCTGCTTCTAATGCTTTCATTTCCTCTTCTGAATCTGAATAAAATCAAAACCATATGGTTACTACATAATCATATATAGTAATATCATTAACCTCAGATTTTAGATTAATTCAAAATAGAGATACTATCTGTCTTATGTACATATTGTGCTTAAAACAGTATTTAAAATAATATATATGTAGTTTACATCATATTAATAAGAACTTTAATAATACAAACACATCATTATTTGATGCAAGAAAGATTACTGATTAGGAACTCAAATATCCACTGCAAAATCTCATTATATGCAATTAAATAGATTTATCTAAAGATTGTGGTCAAATGTTAATAATTATATACATGGAAAATATTCATATTAACATTCAAATTTTAAAAATATCTATTCATTACTTTATCAAGACAAAAATGGTTTCTAATTATTTTAGAAGGAAACACTAAGAATTATTTAATTTGAGATGTTATTTTATAAAACACACTTTGAGAGAATTGTTTTTCACTTAAATAAGAATGACTATTGTGTTACTTAGCAATTAATGTCACAGGTAATTAAGGAAATTTAATGAAAAATGCAATTGTCATCAGTGTATGTGTTAAAATTGTGCACAATACTGTGAAAAATTGCTATATGGTTTTTCAAAGAATATTCTTTTTAATTTTCACTGGTGAATAATTTGTAAAGAGGGAATTTTTTATACTACAAAAATAAAATAAAGTCAGACAACAGCCAATAACTGACTATTCAATTATTGATCTACATGACATTAAACAGAATTTAAAATGGTTCTGCCTACCTCAAATTATATACTTACTAAAAAGAAATGTCACATTTGGAAAAAATTGTTGAATTTTATCTGCAAATAAACTTTAAACACCTGAGATCCTGTTCTTTAATTATAGGATAATCAATTTTTTATCAAAAGAAAGGCAAAGTCAGTCACTTGTTAAAAATATATATAAAAATCTCCACAAATGATGGCTTATCATCAAAAGAAATTTAAGTTTATAAACAAAATCTTCAGCAAAATGTTATTCTGACATACTCTGGCATAAACTTAAAATATCCCTTTAATCTTATGTAACTATGAGATAAAATCAAAATTGTAAAAGCATTAATTTTCTAACAAAAATTGCAAAGTTAAAAGTGAGGGAGATTTTTCAGATGATAAAAAGAAATATGACATTGTGAAATAACAATTTATATGTCGTAAAGTATTTAACATAATTTTAAAAACCTCTAGTATAAATTCGAGTTTGATCTCATTGTGATGTGATCAATAATTTTTCAAATCGCAGAGGAGCATATTGCAATAATTATATTTCATGTTAACTTTTTTAAACTTTAAATACTATTTCCTAAATGAGTTATTGATCGACACATGGCTTCTTAATTATTGCATGCAAAACCAATATAAATTCAGTTTCTGTTAATATAAAACTTCTATTTTTGCCATTACAAGTTGTGTCAATGTAAAATGACATGCAAAAGAATATCAATTAATAATCTATTTCAAACACAAAGAGATGAAATATATTCTCAAAAATGACTTGGAATGATTTTATACTTTTCTAGAAAAAAATCTTCAAAATTCACTTTTCATTCAATACCAATTTTGTTTTGTTATCTCAGCATAGTTGAATTATTCAGAGGAAATTGTAGTTTTATCTCTTTCTAAGAGATTGAAAATGAGATCATGCATTTTGAAAAGAGTGAGTTTTCAGCATAAGACATTAGCGCTTTGTGGTTCTTTTCTCTTACATTTCATCTTACATTACATTTCAAAGGGAGAGGAGAAGTTTTTCTTTAAGATTTATCTTATTGTTTTGCAGATTTAAAGATTTTTTTAAAAATAGCCTTGTGATTATAAGGACTGAAAGAATTTGATTGCTAGCACTAGTAAGCAAATTAAGAAAAGGGAAACGCTCATCTCCCAGGGTACACTAGTGTAAATAGCAACACACTGAAAGAAGTAAAACAAAAAAGGTAGAATCACTTTAGGAGGTAGTGAAATGCAGCTGAGCTTACCTGAGCACAGACTCCAGGAGCTAAAAGCCAGGAGAAGCATGCACACCAGCTGAATTTTCATTCCTGCCATCATCCTCTTGAGACTTCTAGCCACTCAGTCTTTGAAATGCCAGAGATAGCTGAAGGAGCTTCTCTCTAAAGATCCTCTTCCTTCAGCTGACTTTGAAAGTGACTGAACTCTGAGAGATGCTCTGGTCATTCCCTTATATATATAGGAGAAAGCTGTCAGCATGCAGGGATTATCTCTCCAGGATGTGCCCTCCTCTCCCCATTTCCTCCTCCCCTTTTCTCTTGTCCCCCACTCACCTCCCCCACTTCTGAACCTGGAGTGATAGTGACATCTTCCTTAATTGCAGCTGCTGCTGTGGATTTCTGACGCACACAGGAGTGATTCAAAAGCAATTCCATATTAAGTATGCTGGGAAAACTTCCAGTATTCTTTCCCTGTATCCTTTCATTTTCCAATTTCAAGAACTTGTCTTTTTGATTTTGAGAAGCATGAGATCAGTGATACAGAGTGAATGCCAAATTCACAGACTGAGTGTGCTGAATCAATCATATGTTTAGATTTGGAAATTCATATTTAAAGAGTTAGCTTTCTGACTAGCCACGCTTTTGAGAATTTCTTTTTTCTGCTTTCTGGTCTAATATGGACAGGTGTTAAGTAGCTCATAGGATAAAATACTGTTTCCTAAAACATTGAAAGGATTTTTTTTTGTGTTGTTGTTTACTTGCTTTCTAGGGAAATGAGCAAATAAATAATGTTTGCTAATTTTTGGTTCAAAGTCATAGAGAAACAATACAGGGTTATAAAACTGACTGTATTTAAATTTTTCTTAGAGGGTAGATGTGTGATTATCAAGTGATTGACAGTTTTCTGACACTTTTCTCTCTCTGACTGCTTTGCTTTGATTCTTTTGGATTAATACTTAACAACATATTTTAGACCACCAGGGAAATTTTTTTCTTGTATAACTCTTCTCCCTGTTTTCCATAATTAAATCAAACTCTTACATATTCTAATCTTGTAGAAGTCTCTTCTCTTTGTTTATTATAATTGTGACCAGTTTTTTCCTCCCCTCTTGGGGTCATATAAATAAAATTTTCAGAAAGGAACCATAAATAACCACCATTGGCAAAGTCTTTTGTGAAAAAGTGTCTGTTTTCCCAAGTTGCAGTGGCAGTTGCTTTAAATATTTTGGGATACATGGTGTGACTTGAAAAAGGAAGCTGTGAGAAATGTGAACATTTAAGGTGCAGGAAGTCTGAGAATTGTTTACTTTGTAATTATATTGATCATGTAGTGGTGATGGGGTATAAAATGTAGATTGATTTTTGGAAAGAGGTTACATGAGATGTACTGTATATCTAATGAGATAAAATTCTCTTTTTACCCTGAATTTAAAAAGATTAAGATAGTAATTAATTAAGAAAAAGGAAAGAACATCAATAACTGTTTAAATTTAATAATGTCTAGTTTTTTATTACCTTAAATTAGTTTTGCCAATTTATGTGCAATACAATCTCAACCATGATTCACTTCTGGAAGTACTTGATATTGCTAATGTCAAGTATTACTGTATATCTAAATTTTTGCTCTTCAGCCACTAGGGGGTGTGAGAGAAATTTAAAAGGTATTCTTGTCAGGTTTTCAAAGTTAGAATTCTGAAGATTATGCTTTCTTCTCAACATCAGAGTATATCTGTGATAAAACCCACTAATTATACCATGATAAAGAACCCAAGAAATTATGCATTCTTTGAATGGCATTTAAATTAGTTGTTCCATCTGCCTTTGGATTGCAAATACAAGAGGAATCATTTAAATTGCACAATAATACCCTAAGAGTGAAAAGAAAGCTTGAATACCTTTCTGAGGTATTTCTTCAGAATGTGTGAAACTTGCAGTAATGAAATAAAATAACTGGATTTAGAATCAAAATCTGCAAACTCCTCTATGTTTAGTCTGTTAAAAATGTAAAATCTGTTTCTTTAACTTAGCCCTCAAAAATATGAAAGAAGGAAAATAATGTATAGGGTGAATTCAGAAGGTTGAGATGGTTATTCCAAAAGCCAGTACCCACCAGTCTGCAAGCCCTTTCTAAAATTAGATTATTTATTTTCATTTTCCTATTTAAGCAGCTTCGTGTGTGTGAACAAATGATTCTATAGGTCTTAAGTCTGACATCTTGCAACTTAGAGACTCTCCCTTACCCAAAGCTCTTTCCACCACATCACTTCTCTCTCCTTTGATTGATTACACCTGTCTAGTGACAATGGAAGCTAACCTATGAGATTACAAGTGAAACCCAGAAAAATGTTAAAAAAATTCATTTCTAATAAGTTAGAAAATAGACATTTCCTAATAAAACTTATTTTCTGTAAATCTGTACCTTAAGTATTAGTAATCATTGTGAAGACTGTTTCAAGTATTATGATAAATATGAAAGAATTGCAGTAAAAATGTGTTAAATAATGTAAAATTTTTCAAATAAAATAGGTGTCACACATGTTTTTCTTGGGAAAGGGACAGATGTAAACTTTTATGATAAAATTATTACATAAACTTTATTTGACATCTAACTAGCATTTTAAAAATACTATTTTTCTTTTTTTTTCCCTTTATTTTATTTTATTTTTTTTAAAGTTGTAGATTTACAATTCTTTGTGCTTTGGTTTCAATCATACAATGATCAGATACCCATCCCTCCACCAGTGCCCATCTTCCACCACCATGGATAATATCCCTCCCACCCCCATCCCCCCATCCCCCCTGTCTCTGTGGCAGGGCAATCCCCTGTGTTCTCTCTCTCCTTTTGGGTGTTGTGGTCTGCAAAAGAGGCATTGAGTGGCAAACATGTTCAGTCCATAGTCTACTTTCGACATGCATCTCCCCTCCTGGGAGGATCCTCCAAACATCCTTTATTTGGTGCTCCCTTCTCTATCTGAACTGCCCTTTCCTCTAGGATACCCGGCTGGCCTCTGAGTTATGGAGTAATCCTCCTGGTGCTGATCTCAGCTATTCTTGGGTATTAATCTCATACTTTGTTACTTTATATCCCCCAGATGAATGCAATCTTTCTATGTCTATCCCTCTCTTTCTGACTCATTTCGCTTAGCATGATACTTTCCATATTGTACCACTTGTATGTAAATTTCATGACTTCATCTTTTCTAACAGCTACATAGTACTCCATTGTGTAGATGTACCAAAGTTTCTTTAACCAGTCATCTGTTCTTGGGCATTCAGGTTTCTTCCAGTTTCTGGCTATTGTAAAGAGTGCTGCAATGAACAAACAAGTGCAGATGTCACTTCGACTATACTTTTTTGCCTCTCTGGGATATATTCCCAGGAGTGGTATTGCTGGGTCAAATGGGAGCTCAATTTCTAATTTTTTGAGAATCGTCCATACTGTTTTCCAGAAGGGCTGAACCAGTGGACATTCCCACCAACAGTGAAGGAGGGTCCCTTTCTCGCCACATCCACGCCAGCATCGGTTGCTTTTGTTCTTTTGAATGTGGGCCAGTCTCTGAGGTGTGAGATGGTATCTCATTGTGGTTTTGATCTGCATCTCCCTGATGATTAATGATGTAGAGCATTTTCTCATGTGCTTTTTTGCCATTCGGATTTCTTCTTTGAGAAAGTTTCTGTTCATTTCATTGCCCCATTTTTGGATGGGGTTTCAAGCTATAGCACAGCGGTAGGGCATTTGCCTTGCGCATAGCCAGCCAGGCCTAGCCAGGTTCGATTCCTCTGCAACTCTCGGAGAGCCTGGTAAACTACCGAGAGTATCTCGCCCGCAAGGCAAAGTCTGGCAAGCTCCCCGTGATGTATTTGATATGCCAAACACAGTAGTAACAAGTCTCACAATGGAGACGGTACTGGGCCCGCTCTAGCAAATTGACGAACAATGGGAGGACAGTTCTACAGTGCTACAGTGTCTTCAAGCTACAGAAAAGTCATTGAAACCATTTATTTTGAGAAGTTATACATACATGTGTATGAGAATATCTGCATTTAAATGGTATCTAAGAAATGAGAAGAGACCTTTAAAGCAGAATTTTAGCTCTTTTTCTTATGGATATGACTAAACTACTTTTATTCTGGCGTCTTTATATCTATAACTCTTTTATTTGGTTCTTAAAGTAAATATTATAGTTTGAAAATTACCCTTTGATAATTTTCATAAATTGGGCCTTGCAATCTGAGATCACCACGGTACAGTCAACTCCAAATAGATTTTATTTGTTCAACTATTTATGTTAGGCTTATTTGAATGTCTGAGCAAATCACCCCATTATTGTAGAATATTTTAAATCAACAAAGCTGTCTGAGTGGCAGTTGGAAAGAAGTGTATATAGACCTGTTTAATTCAGATTTGGAAACTCTGAAATTACTTGGTTCAGGGATTTTACTACCTTATTAACAATTCCCCAGCCACCTTGTCTTTTGTCTTTATTAACACTTAAATTCACTTTGTGGTATATTTACCGTTATGAGTCTATTTTTCCTCATACCTTTGACTTTTCAATTTCTCACTCTCTGACACTGTCTCTCAATTTAAAGGATTGCATTTTGCAAATGGATCAATATAAGCCTTTCCAAGATTGAATTCCAAGAGCAGTCTCATTTACTCTGAGTCTTTCCAATTTCTGCTAAATGCTTATCTACTTCTACTAATGTGTTAACTTCTGGAAGGAAAGAATTTTTACTCATCATTGTATTTCACATTTTTCAAAGATTTATAATTCATGGGTCCTATAGGTATTTACTAAATTAAATTGAATTGTTCCTTTAGATGTTTACATATTTTTCAAGTTTTAATTTGTAGCATTTATTTTAGACACATCTCTACTTTCAACTGTTTAAAGTCTTTTTTATCACTAATCTTAATATTCTATTCAAGTATCTACAACTGAATCAGTTTTCTCAGCCTTCCTTCTAGTCATATTTTTCTTCCTTAACTGGAAAAGCCAACTTTAAGAAATGATTTAAGGGCACACCAGGATCATATACATTCATCAGCTTTGTATTTAGGGTAAATTGTGGGATTACTCCATTTATATAAATGAATCTCTGGTTTGGAACTGTAACTCTGATTCATCTGAACAAATAGTGATGACAATCTCTCTGTAAACTCAATTGATTTTTCTGTACAATTAAAGTCCATTTACTGAAGACATACAGATAGTTAAATATATGTACACACCCACACCCACATGGTCTATCTTACACATAAAATGTGTATAAACCAGTTCTGGTGATTTAGATAACAATAAGCCAATGTCTAATTTCCCAGTTTCTATAGAAACATTCTTTGCATATAATCTCTATAATTTCCTAGTTTTTTCTTCTTTGAATCTTCCTGTT